CTTATGTTAGTAAAAACGTTGAATAGAGAATTTACAAGACTGGCTTTCAAAGGCGGAATAATAGCTACTAATAGGCAATTTTTAAAATATTTAAAATACAAATAATTCCAATAGTTTTTTTAGTCATAGAAAAAGGTAAAAATTAAAAAAATAAAAATGAAAAGGAGGCCAAAGAAAGAGAAAACCTTATCAAAATGACTTTCCGAAAAAAATAGTTGAAAGAATGGAGATCGTCTTGGATTCGGATAATTATAAATCTTTAATGTAATGGAGAATATTTAGGGAAAGATTGATGAAGAGATATGTTTCAGAATTGGTTTCCTTCTTTATAGGGAACTACCATATTTTATAGGGTATAACTTTTTATACTGTTACCTTATTCAGGTTGTATAAAATGTTATTCAATTAATAGTTGTAAATTATGAAATATTTTATGAAATCATAAGTAATTATGTAAAACTCCCGACTAACCGAGCTTTTCAATCGTATATTAAGTAGTGGAAAGATGTCAAACGAGAGAATATAGCACGCTATAGAAAAAAATGATATGGTGTTAATTAACAGAAAATAGCTCGACAGTCAACCAAAAGTTATAGAGAGCACACATGAGTGTGAGGGTCTTAAGTATTAGCAATATGACATACATGCACTGATGAAATATATCAAATAGCTTCCATAAGAAGAGTTAAGGTGAAGTACGGTTAGACGAAATTGTAATGCCTAAATGAAAACAATCCACATATAAGGGCTCGCGCTTCAAATAGAATGACATGATGAACAAAAATATAGTAATACAAAACTCGAAAAAATGACTGAAATTGAGGAATCTTATTGGAATGCGACGTGATAGGAAGATTACCTTCCAAAATTCAAGGCAAATTCTATAGAATTACATACTATATGCAATTGAATGTTAAAAATCCAAGTAAAACATATCCAAATGTCATAAAAATGTGGACATTAAGATGGACATGCCTTCATACTCGCGAAAGATTAGAAATCATTACATACGACAAATGGTGCAAAAAGAAGGCATCAAAAGATGAGATAAAATTATCTTAAAATGTTCATGCTCTACGCGGACTTGCACATGCATCAGTCCGGAACTAAAACATTATGACGATCAAATGTGCTAAAAGAAGACAGAGGTACCTGAACTCAGAGAAAAATTAACTTAAAAGAACCACACTCTCTCTCTGAATAAATCCAAATTCAACTAAGAATAGAACACAACGCAATCAAAGGACTCAAAGAGGGGAAACCAACCAACTAATATGAACTTAGTTGATTGTTACTTGTATGGCTGTTAGTATTTGCCAAGAGTCTTTCTAGTCTTCTGTCAGAGTAAAGACATATATCACATTGTTAAATTGGCAAGATCCGATAAATAACCAAATTATACCACATCTTACTCAGTTATCAAACAAGAAGATGATCACACGAGCAGGCTACCTGAAGATATTTATCTTTTTTTGCTTTTCAAGTATCGATACAGTGCAGACTTGCCAAAGGGATCAATACTATATTCGTGATAACTGGCAACTCAGCCACTGTTGTATAGCCTATACAGGGATCATGCGATAAATGATTACGGGCACCACCTCATTATTTCGAGGGGGCCTCAACCAAGGAATTTATGTCATTAGGAATATACAACTCAAAAGGACAACCGCTCCCTTCGGGATCAACTTATACACAACCACTATACAAGAAGAGCAACACATAAATGACACATTTCAATAGCAGTATAGCACTACCAAGGTCGCTTTTACTTTTTCTTCCTAAAGCACCTCTCTGAGAACAAGCACCATCTATCCTTTGCCCAAAAGACAGTCTCCGTTCTTTCGTCTTGCATAGGGACGAAACGAAAACCAAACCTTGCTTTTCCCAGATATAAAATGACCAGCCGACATTAGCACTTAGGGAACTGGAAAATTTACGGGGTAGAATTTACTGAGATTTCCTGTGGCAAATGGGAGCTGGGCTGATCCACATACGAAGGAATGATAAGACGTTGCAATGGTGCTAAAGCCACTGTTAGCTGAGCAAATGAAGGACGCAAGTTTGGATCACTGGAAAAAAAACATGTACAAGATAATTTAGCATTTTGTGTCTTGAAGGAAATAAACAAAATTATAAAAGAATATAACAGGTGCATGTCACTCACGTTTGCCAACATTGCCATATTATTCTTGCTACAATAGGATCAAGTTCCTTTGGAATCTCGAGACGTTTATTCTGGAAGCCAACAGCTCCCACCACTTGCATAGGGTTCATCCCGCTCCAAGGTAATCTTAAGGTAGCAAGTTCCCATAGAATGACACCAAAACTATAGATGTCACACCTGTCAAGTGACCAAAATGTTAAGCCGATGATAGCATAGAACTCAGCAAGTACAAAACCTGCTGTAAAATAGATGCAGGTTGCAAAGCTTTGCCATCTATGAGCTCATTTCTTTTTTGGAGAAGGATATATGAGATCACTTCCTTTCTATGTGACCAATAATTCCATCCTATGAAACCAAGAAGAATTCCAGAAGAAAGCAAATTGTTCATTCAGGAAACCATGTTTAGTTCAAAATATTATGATAGCGTTAAAAGAGTTCAGCAAACAATTACGCCTTCGTTAGGTTCTACAAACCAAGAATTCTATCCTGGATGAGCCCTTTTTTTCTGATCAGGAATGACCCCATTTGGAATATATATGAAATAATTTTAAAGCTGGTACAATTTGTACCGATAGAGTTTTGTCTAGGACTGCTAGCGGTTTATGTTGTGTTCACACTATTTTTTGTTTTGCATAGTATTGTGTTATTGCCCTTCTACTTATTTGCTGTCTCTTACGATGTTGATGCTGATATTATTTTTCTGGTTTCTTTTATTGTTACGGATCTATTCCTCAGTTCTTTTCTGATATTATTTCCTCCTCTGTTGAGCCGAGGGTCCCCCGGAAACAACCTCTCTACCCTTTCGGGGTAGGGGTAAGGCCTACGTACACTCTACCCTCCCAAGACCCTATTAGTGGGATTTTACTGGGTTGTGTTGTTGTGCTGCAGTGATGAAAAGAGTTCATTTTCCATATTTGCAGAGATGATGCGGCAGTCCAGCTCCATGGGCATTAATACTATTCCAAAACTCAATTTTCAGCCAAGTAGGAATAGTATTTAATGAAAAACTTTCCCCTTTTTTGGGTCGTATCCAATGTACTATAGGTCGTTAGATTGTTCCACATTGACAGAGTGAAAGGGATGTGTTTCTTTTATGGTCTTGGGAATCCTCATCCTTGAACTTGCTTTGGGCTTGTGTTACCTAAGGTCCATTTCTTTACGTGCTATCATATACTGTACATGCTCAAGATATACCGCCCTGGGCATGTGACGAGGTATTAGATTGTCTTACATTAGTCGAGGCAATGAGTTGTTCTCTCCTTTTATGGTCTCAGGCAATCCTCACTAATGAGCTACCTTTTGGGGCTTGTGCTTGTGTTGAGCCCAAAATCTATTTTCTTTACAAAGCTTACAAGCAGTAACAACAAGACGAACGCTGACAAGCATGCTAAACATGAAGATTGACATAAAAACACAAGGCTCCAATTTGTAAAAGAAATAGAACTACAAGAATATCTAGCACAGGCTATGAGCGAGAACATGGAGTTAGTAGAGTAATTCTTAACTCACTTCTCATTTGAAGGTTCATTGCGAAGAACTTCTGGCGCCATCCACTCAGGCTATGGAATGAAAAAACACTAGGTTAGAAAATAAGAAAGTGAAGAAATAAGATAATTAGTATCCAAACTTAATGGTAAGGGTAACACATGTAAACAATTGAAGATATATTGTTCTCACCGTTCCAGCTGTTGATTTGGATGACAAAAATGTGTTGTGCTTCAAGCGAGACAAGCCAAAATCACATACCTGCATTTCAAGATTCAGTCACATCCCTCCAGAGACATCCCATAAATTAAGAAATAGGTCAGAGAAGATTCAGAGTTACTACAACCACAACCAAGTAAACTCCCCTTCAAAATGAAATAATCACATTAGTGCATTAGTTTCTTTTCATTTTTCTGACCTAAATTGTAGAACTGAAAAAGAAAAGAAAGAGGGGCTATAGCTGTTTGCTCAAAGATTAACGCAGTTTGTAAGCATTTCACTGAAGCAATGCAGGTTTACAACCAGCTCAACAAAACAAAAAAGATCAATTTTTTTTTGATAACCAAAACTTCCTTCGGGGCCAGCTGGCACACAATTCAAAACTCGACGGATAATAATACCCGACTGTTTAGTCCACCGCGGGGTTCAAACTCGTGACGTGCGCTTATCCACACATCATGCATTGCGCCCTTACTATTGAACTAAACACCAAGGCAAAAATAATAAATTTTGCTCGCTCACCAATGACATAAGTTCATGCAAGGTAGAAAGAAGGAAGATACAAACATTTGAAAGCAAATTACCTTAACAGTCCAGTTCTTATCAACCAAGAGATTAGGTGACTTCAGATCACGGTGAACAATCGTAGGGTTGCTTGTATGTAAGCAATCCATGCCCTTTGCCTGCACAAGAGGAACCTCTAAGATCTCAACATAAGCAAAAGAAATGCTGATCAATTGGTCCAAAGCACCAAGCCATATTGATCAAGTAAAGATGCTGCTGGATCATACCACATCAAGAGCCATTTTGATTCTTCTCCTTTCATCAATTTGACAATGAGGACGATGAATTATCCGATATAAGCTACCTCTGAAAAGCATATTTTTTAGATGATTAATTCCTCTTTCACAAGAAAATTTTCAAAAAGCACTAACTGCTTGCCAAAATTAGATATTATTTGATGACTAATCAATGTTTGGCTGAAAGAGACTTTAAACTTAGCACTTGTAGAACCACATATCAAACACAAATCACGAAAGAATATATCATTCATCTTTGTAGTTTTCATGTCATACTAGAGAGGGCTGTCAAAAAATACATCACATGGAAACAATTATACGGTGAGATAAACAAAGGTTTATTCTGAATAAAAATTAATCCAAATGGTAAACCTGCTTTTCATTGATTTACCATCCACAAAATGCTAATAAAGACACCTAAAAGAAAATTCATGTTATGGCTTTGTGGACATGAGACTTAGGCGGTAAGCCTCGCTTATTTCAATTTAATGAAGATCTGGATCATTCAATTCTCGGCTCATTAAGTGTATTGCACCTAAAAGAAAATTCATGTTATGGCTTAGTGGACATGAGAGTTAGGCAGTAAGCCTCGCTTATTTCAATTTAATGAATATCTGGATCATTCAATTCTCGGCTCATTAAGTGTATTGCCCCCCCCCCCCCCCCCTTACAAACACTTACTAGGTCTAAATAGGTTTGATTCATTCAAAGCTACTACATAGTTTAAAATCATTAAGATGTTGTTCATTCAAAAATTCATCGGAAAGTGATGTTTTATGTGTAGTAAAGAATTTGCATCGAGTGCTTCGACTTGCGCCATATATTTTCAACAAAAGTACACCAAAGGAGAGACGTCCATGTAGCATAGCATTCGATAAGTTGATTGTGATAATAGCCAAAAACTTACTAATTATGGCAAAATTTGAAGGAAAAAGGGAAGGCGAATCAAAATACAAACATACCGTGGCAGGAACTCAGTGATAATAGAAAGGTGGGGTGGCCGAGTTATAGCACCCATAAAACGAACAACATTTGGATGTCGTAACCTACGCATGATACGCACCTGCCAGTAAATACCATTACGTTAATTAATGATGCATTTCAACAAGAAGAATGTTAAGCAGCAAACAAAAGAAAAAGGAGAAGTGCAAACATTAAGTCTGAGGAATCTCTTCAAAAGTACAGTTAAATTTAACAGAACTATGAGAAGATAAAAAAACATTGATTAGCATCTAACCTAAAAAATCAGACTTAGGATTCTCATCAAACTTACCAAAATGATGAAACCTACAAACTAAAGCTGAAACAAGAAAGGAAAATACACAAGCTTATTCTTAATGAAAAATATTTATGCTTACTCCTTTTTAGGCATAAGAGACAATGAAGATGCTCAATGAAACAATTTTCACATCTAAATAGAATGGTTACAGTCTTTGGATAAAGAGAATGGAGGAAATTATCCTCAAAGTACTTCATTCCAATTTATAGGACACTCTTTTTTTTTTTTTTTTGGTACTTTACAAAATCTCTGACACCACTCCCTTAATAGTATTATTCTAAACAATTTTCGAGAATTCAAATTCTTTTATCTACTCAAATTTTAAACTTTGATTTGATGTTTTCTCTGTCAAACTAACTTTTCAACCACAATTCTAACATTTTCTTTGTATTTCTACTATTTTTGGCATAACAAAATTTTAGTTTTCATGAGAGCATCCCCCAGCCAGATTCAATCTCAAGGTCAATAAAGCCAACTCATTCAAACGATTATGAAATGTTCTGCGAGTCAGACCATTTGAGAGTCTTGCATGACTTCTGAAAGTTAGTGACAGGATAAAACTGAAAATGATTGAGAGAATCGATTACGACTACAATAACAACAACAAAAAACGAGTGGGGTCTGGGGAGGGCAGTGTGTACGCAGACCTTACCCCTACCTTAAGGATAGAGAGGTTGTTTCCAATAGACCCCGGCTCAAGGAAAGAGAAAGAAAGCAGTAACAACAAGCAATACCAACAACAAGATAACAAGAAAACAAGCAGTAACAATAACAAGATAATAAGAGAAAAAGCAGTATCAACAACAAGATAATAAGAAAACATGTAGTAATTTTCATATATCAGAGCACAAAGGCTGTGCAAAAGCAATATATGGAAATAGTTGTAATCGACTTAGAATCTATCTACATGTTTCCATATATTGCTTTCGCACAGCCTTTGTGCTCTGATATAGGAAAATTTTTACCATTCTCAAAATAACAAAAAAGGAAAAAAAGAATTGACTACGACTGTTAGAGATTCATGTTGGTACTAATATAACATATAAGTCATATTAACATCTTAAACTCTGTCTTCGGACAGATTTATGTTCACACTAATATAACTTGTAGCCAAACAATTCAAGACTCTTGAAAACAAACAAAGGGTAATACAGCTACAACGGACTCCAACAAAAAGAACACGATAATGTTATTAAAGAGGTTATGCCAGCGTACTCCCGTAAATGCAAACATAACAGAGCTACTTAATCTTCCCTGTGGTTAACCAGGTTTGTAGATTCATCCTAAAAGGACAAGGTAGGCAGGTAATATTATTTCCCTTTCTATGGAAGCATTTATGTTATATTAACAAGAAGGTCTGAGTGTACCTCGATGGGGAGGGGGGAAAAACTCAACAAGAACATGTTTATAGTGCTCTTTTGATTAAACTTCAATGCAGGCATCAAATAGTACATAAGTATAACAGTGCAGAGTCCAGACCTCTCTCTTAAACTCGGCCAAAGCTGCACCTGAGAAATCCTGATCGAGGAACTTCTTTACAGCAACCTCCTATTTTAAATAGATTCACAAGCAAAAGAATTCAATGATCAATAAACTCAAGCAATTACATAAATACCAAAGCTATTTCAATAAGGTACATCAATACCAAAGCTTCCGCTTTATTGATAGCAAAAAGTTTGGTACTACAAAAACTAGATATTATTCCAAGGGGGCTGATGATGACAACACTTAGCAGCCGAAAGTGAGGGCACCATTAGAACATTGGAATGTGAGGCAAGCTATAGAGGAAATATAAAAAAGAACACGCTGACAACTCAGAACTTGAAGCCACTTGTAGTAACATGGCTAGTAACAATTTATGAATAGGAAGATAAAACAAAATGCTCCTAGGAATATTTTAAATAAAATCACTTACAGTGCCATTCCAATCTGCATGGTAAACCTCCCCATATGAACCTGAAAATGAGACCAGAAAGCTTCAGTATGAAGAAGACATACTAAGAGTAAAACCACAATTTTACCTACTAGCATTCTGACTACTACCATCCATTTTTGTGGATATCATGCAGCATGTTTTTAAAATTAAATAAGTAAGAGCAGAATATCTGAATTATGACTGCTTCCAGAGAAATATCCCAATAGAAAATCTAGATGTATAAACAAATAATTAAGTGGATAAAGCATGATTGCCTCCCTTTAGATGGAGATGGAAAGTATGTTGAGGCCATTTGCTTTTCACCTTTATTAACCAAGCAACTGAGTATCTCCAACAAAATACTAAACCTAAACTAAGTAATTTACAGACATCCACTCTATTCACTCCTCCATGACAAACATTAGATAGAAATTTCCAAAATGTTTCACATTTATTATTCATTTCTCGATCCAATATATGGAAGGAAATGGAGTGCAGAGGTAAAAATGTATATGGTAAATTAAATGTTTTTATTGGCCCCGCACAAACACACTGAAGTATAAATCTTAATGAAACTTCAGGCTGAGACGTAGTTGATGTATAAATATAAATAAATGAGGTTTTACTGCATTTGCACAATATCATCCAGCATTATCATTGCAAGATATTTCAGTCAGGGCAAACAAAGGCTTACCAAGACCAATCCTCTCGCCAATGACAAGATCTTCCCATGGAATTTCGCAATCACCAACATCGTCAAATACAGGATCAACCTGATTTCGACCTACATCGCCTGAAGAAGTTGGATATTCTGGCTCCTTCAATTTTATATTTGTTCCTATTGACTGAGCTTGCAAATTTCTTATGTGGTCACTTTCCAGGATAATAGCTTGTCCGTGTGCCTGTGTCCTATTTAACTCATCAGTCTGCAAAATGTGCCCCTCCCATTGACTTGTTTCTCTATTGTCGTTTTGACTGTCCTGAACAGACAACCTTCTAAACTCAAGTTCAGCTGATAATTTGGAACTGTTATCCTGGGTGGAAGTAACCCCTTCATTTCCTCTATAGGCAGGATGTGAGTTTCCATGTAACCTGGAGGTATCAGGGGAAGATTTCTGTGGTATGTTTGAGCTGGTAGATGCTATTGATGATGTATTATAGCCACTAGATCCACAGTTCTTCTTTGGAAAAAGTGCCTCAGAATCAGAATCGTTTTTCCAGGGGACCTCATTGTGTGCATACCGATTTTTCCACATCATAGGGGCAGGAGGTCGTCCAGTGACCAAAGTATTTTTCGGCTGTTGCAATTCACTGACTTTGTTTCTTGCAGGGTTTTTCTGCATCACTGTATTGCCAGAGCCTCTTACTTGAAACGGATTAAGATCAGCAAAAAGATTCTTTGGGTCCTCCGGGTTATTCTGATCGTAAGGAACCACATTTACATTCAGCCTCAAGCCATCGCCAGCAGCATTGGGTCCACGGCCCCCTTTGTACAAAGAAGTTCCAATTGCTAATGGCGAAGTCCAATCGACCTGATTTGAAGAAGATGGTCTTTTAATGATTGCTGAAGAACCAGGGGTGGAGCTACCACCTGCATCTGAGATTGAATGAGCTGATTCTATCTTCTCAGGCTTAGACCTATTAGAGAAATCATCTCCTAATCCAGAAATTTGACCAGATAACAAGTTCGGCCTCGGGTAAGAAACTCCAGAATCATTATTGGACGGAAAACTTGGAATCTTGTTCAATTTTGGACCATATGATTTAAAAGAAGCATCCTTTGCACTCAGAACATCAGCTGGTATAAGTGTGCCAGGTGCTCCCATGAGATCAACCAAAAACTCGCTGAAGGCAAAGAATTGATTTAGAGGCTGAAAATGTAGAGAGATATGCGACAAAAGCAATTGATCATAATTGTTGCAATACATGCATGTGTATGCAATTATGCAATTGAAGCAACTAAAGCTTCGGGTAGTGAGAGTAACAATTTGAAGCTGCAGATGAAGAAAGATCATGTGTCTCATGGGATTGCATAGATGACTATAGCTCGGAACACTTAGCGCAAATGATTTTAGATACAGTCTAAGATAGATCAGATGATATTCATGAAAAGCAAACTCAATATGCAAGCACGTGAAGACAACTACTCCATTTATTAGGGACAGATTGTCCATGCTTATTTTGTTGTCCTACAATAACGTATCATGTTATAGAAGAAGCTTTTAACGTACTTGACTTAGTTTGACACAAATGTTAGAAGTGCGAGTTGTTCAGCC